GGGTGTGTTGCAGCCCCTGTCGCGGCGATCCTTGGTGTAAGAGTAGCAGCAGTCGTCGTTGCCACTACCTTGGTTAGTTGCAGGGGGTACTGGAGCTGGAGGTGCTGGAGCTGGAGGTGCTGGAGGTTCTGGTGCTGGAGGTGTTGGAGGTACTGGAGCTGGAGGGGCTAGAGCTGGAGGTGCTGGAGGTTCTGCTGCTGGAGGTGCTGGAGGTCCTAGTGCTGGAGGTATTGGAGCTAGAGGTGCTGCCACTGAGTGTGTTAGTTATGCTGGAACTAGAGGTTTTCCTGGTACTGGTCCTGGAGGAGCTAGTTTTGGGGGTGCAGCGCAGCCACTACAACAACGGCCGTTGTTCTGGGAGCAGCCGCAGGCGTCGCTGCCGCTACCTCGTCTGGCGCTTCACCACCTTCCCGGCCTGCCTCTGCGGAGCTGTCTACGACCGATACTCCTCCTCCTCTACTGTTTCCACCACCTGACCTATCTCGAACGCAATTACTGCCTGACTCCCCTCTACCTGTTCCTCTTCGTGACTCTCTATTAGCTGACTCCCTGACTGAGCGTCGAGAGCCTGCGCCTCGTCCTACCTCACCTGTCGCTCGTACTCGCCGTACTCGTCGTGTTCTCCCTTCTCCTGTTCCAAACACTCACACCATGATACTTCATCTTTCCTCTATTTCACGGCATGTTGTCCTACCGTTACATCCCTCGTCATCTCTTCCCGACGTTCCTTACCCTATGTTTGACTGTGTTCGTGCTGCTAGTCCAACTATCCCTCGTTGCCTAGCCACACTTGTCACCGATCCTGATTTTCGTTTCAGTTGCTGCACCTGCCTTGGTCCCTGAGCTCACTAAACTTGCTGCTACTATCCTACCTCGCGAGTCTTGTTTTTTAATCCGCCCTGTCCTACGTCCATCAAGGGTGAGCTTGCCCTTGGCCGTGATGTCCATGAGGACAGGCAGGCTGAGCTGGAGTGCTGGAGGTTTTCGCGCCAAAAGGTTTTCGTGACAGATTCGTCTCATGGCACAACTAACAACAGTGCAAATGCAACCCGGCGAAAAAGGAATGGCATATATCAGTCGTTGCCGCGGTTTGCGTGATAGACTTCTTCGATGCGGTGGATCAATATCTGAAGAGGCATTCGTCACTATTGTCATCACTGGTCTTGGCCCTCAGTGGCGCTCCACCCGAGCCATCCTCCAAGCCCATGGAAAAAAATCTCCGAAGTAGCTCTCTGCACTGAAATCCGCGCCGAGCAACAAGACATGGACCTACACGAAGAATGTCACAACAAATCTAAGAAGGTTTTCGCGCCAAAATCGCGCTCCCCACAACAGTCGCATCTAATGGAGGGATGCTAGAACAGTTCGAAACATCCTTAGCAAGACCCACGCGAAACCCACCGAAAAAACACAATTGTCAAAATTCCCGGCGTGAATCCCCAAATGTTGGGAGCGCGACGCGGGAATTTTTTTACCCACTCATGGTCACTAGGGTCAATTTGCTGAGTGGTTGGGTGCAGAGGTGTAAGGCGTGGGACATTACCCACTTGTGACACTCGACTGACGACCGCCAAATTCTTGCAGTAAATCCAAAATCGTGCAACCAGGTGATTGGTTGGGGGTGGGTCGTGGACGTCATTTGCCCAACACCTGCATATTGACCCAAAGCTGGGGCCGTGCGCGGCTCGGCAGCCCACTTCGGGTCATGCACAAATTCTGCATGACCCAAACAGTAGCCAAAACAGTACTTATGACCCGAACATGGATACGCCCTCAGCATCTTGGCACGCTACGTTGCGCCCGGGAGACACCGCCCTGAGCACTGGCTGGCTACTATGAGGATGATGTGCTACTAGGTGAGTACATCAGCTTGAGGCCTGTGCTTGGGGGACGGGGTTCAGTTGTGCTCACGGGACACTCAAACGCTTCGTGGGCCGACGACCAGGTGACTCAGCGGTCGTCGCATGGCTACACTTTCTGTCTCAACACTGGTTCTGTCTCATGGAAGTCCGCTCGGTCGTCTTCACTGCTCAGCTCCACTTGTGAGGCTGAGATCTACAATGTGGCTATGGTTGCGCAGAAGTTACGCTGGCTGGCCTACTTGCTCACCGACTTGGGTGAAGGGCCTCGTTCTCCTCCGGTTCTGTTCGTTGACAACAAGGCTATAACAGCCTTATGTTAGGTGCACACAACAAAGCACATTGCTCTTCGTTACTGTCTCGTGTGAGAGTTGCAGCAGCGTGGTCAGCTTCACCTTTCTTATGTGGCCTCTAAGGCCAATACTGCTGATATTTTCACCAAGGCTCTTGGGTCTAGTGATCATAAGCATTTATGCACTGCTCTTGGCCTTGTGCCTACTCTGCCTCACTTGCTTGTCTCTTGATGTCGTCTTGTACTTGTTGTACTCTGATATACATTGATAAGAAACAAGGAATGAGAATGACTAAGGGAAAGTTGGGTACAAGTACAAACCCTAGAAATGTGTTGTACCCCATATGTGCTACCCCACTATAGCCTACATAGGCTAAGTCATATAAGTCTAACATACATCTATACCTGCATGTGTACATTTGCTTGGATGTGATCATTGTACTACTCTTGCTTCGATAACATTGCATGTGAACTGGCCTTGTGGCCGCTTGCTTGTGCTCGGACTATATGGTGATCTTGAGATCCTCCCTGAGTGTTGTTTTCTTTCTTCTTTTGACTGGTGTTGTGACCTTTTTGCGTTGCTACTTCTTGCTTTCCCCCACTTAGCCTACGGGGCTATGTCAAACTAATTATATGCTTGCAGGCTGTAGTGGGGCACTCTCCAAGGGGTATGACTCTTTTGGGGTTTGATCTTGTACCCCCTCCTTTGGTGAACTGCATTCTGCTAGTTTCTAACAAACAACAATATACACGGCACCCACAATCACTTCGTCCCATTTTCATTCACAACACTCTCCACCTGAGCACCGTTTGTACCATCGCACCTTAGCCGCACGCCTCAGCTGGTAATCCGCGGTCCAGCCCTCAGCACTAAGCCCGTTGAGCACCCTGTTGGAAACATATAGTTTGCGCTTCGAATGTGTCGAAACATTGAACCGTAAGCGAGGCAGACTATAGCGAAGCAACAGCGAGTCAACCAAAGAGGTTGACAGCATGCAACAGCAAGGAGGTTAAGCGAAGTTCATAGGTCAGCGACTGACTCACCGAAAGGAAGCGCGACAGCAAGGACAAATAACTGGCTCGTTATTGAGCTTGCCCGAGTCGCAGCTGTATCAAATCGCAACAGCAACAGCAACAGCTAGTTGTGACCTTTCATATTCCCTTGTACTCATATAAAGGCTTTGTATCTCTTTACTATAAGTAATCTATCTTGCTCTCACACACTAGTGCAAGGTGGTTCAACCAGATCACTGCAACGCTTCCGCAATTACATCATCACTTCGAGTCTTAGCCGTGAAACGATCCTAAGGGCTTTTCTCAGCCCAACAAAGTATGAGAGCTAACAGGGCAAGACTCAATTCTGTACAACATTCTACAACAACTCAAGACATGGCAATACAGAAGGAGAGAAGCTCCTCTAACGGATCTCCCGGCACTACTCCTACTCCACCTCCAGCCTCTGGACTGCAGATAGAGGGAGGTACGGCAACAAGACCAGCTGCTGAATGTACTAAAACTCCAGCAAACCAAACAACCGGCTTCGACCCAAGAATGATTGAGAAGTTCTTCTCCTTCATGTCATTTTACGAGCAACTGCCGACCGGACCTGTCATACTCAGCGAGCCAACACGCGTATCTCAAGAAGCCCGAAGTAGAGCACATGGTAGAACTTGATTGCGCACTGCACTACCTCGTCAGCATACCAAGGATTGGCTTAACCTACCACAAAACAGGAACCTCGCCGCCTAAACTAATCGGCTACGTGGATGCTGACCACGCTCAGGCGATCACGCTCCGGCTATGTCCACCGACTCGAGCCTATCGGTCCTATTTTGTGGCAATCGAGCAAGCAAGAGCTAATTGCTCCCGCCTTAGCTGAAGCAGAATCGTCGCACTTTGCTCAGCCACCAAGGAAGGATTGTACCTTCGCGATCTACTGGAAGAAGCAAAGCTGGCCCAGTTACCCAGCTTCTCCCTCTTCTGCGATAAGCAATCAGCAATTCGCATATCGAACAAGAACGGGTTCGCGAACCGAACGAAGCACATCGCCGTGGGATACTTCTTTGTGAAGGACGAGATCGAAAAGGGTCGAGCTATCCTACTGCCCCACATCCGAGATGGCAGCAGATTACTTGACCAAGAAACTCGGATAGCAGAAGTTCGAGTATTGCATGCTGCTAACTGGACAAGGCCACGTCACCAGCAACGACACTCCAGAAGCGATAAGGGGTGTTGGAAACATATAGTTTGCGCCTCTGATGTGTCGAAACATTGAATCGTAAGTGAGGCAGGCTACAGCGAAGCAATAGCGAGTCAACCGAAGAGGTTGATAGAATGCAACAGCAAGGAGGTTAAGCGAAGGTCAAAGGTCAGCGACCTTTGGCTCACCAAAAGGCAGCGCGACAGCAAGGACAAACAACTGACTCGTTATTGAGCAGTTGCCCGAGTAGCAGCTGTATCGAATCGCAACAGCAACAGTTAGTTATGACCTTTCATACGGTATTCCCTTGTAATCATATAAAAACTTTGTATCTCTTTACTTTTAGTAATCTATCTTGCTCTCACACACTAGTCCAAGGTGGCTCAACCAGATCACTACAACCCTTCTGCAATTACATCATCACTTCGAGTCTTAGCCTTGAAACAATCCTAAGGGGTTTTTTCAGCCCAACACGCCCCAATAATTCGCACATTCCGCTATATCATATTTGCTCACAACTTTGCTCATACGTTTGTGATTCTTGCCTCTGTAGTGCAATCCTCACTCGATTAGTTGCACTCGTAGCTGTGATACAAGAAACGTTAATGTTAATAATAGTAGAAAATAAACAGGTGCATCCATTCCTAATTTATTTCAGCAGAACCGCAGGTGCAGCAAGCCGGTCATTGGTGGCCCTCAAGGCGAGGATGAGGCGAGTGTGCCGTGAGGCCAGTGACCCCACAAAGTAGTCTGACTCCGCTGCGATCAGCACACTTGCCAGCTGTGACCCCACCACACCTGCCATGCTGGCAGCCGCTGATTGGCCGTAGCTGTCGTGCCGGGAGTTAAGGAAGGTCCAGTCGTCGAAGGCTGCCAATTGTGTCTGCGTGGCCTGAGGGGCCCACAGGGGGATGGGAGAGAGGAAGACAGGGCAGACAGGGAGGGTGTGTGATGGCTGGAAAGGAGTAGCGTGCATTTGCACCACTCGGACCTCTGCTCCTCGCACCACATGGCCCTGCACCCTCTCGCACCACATGCCTCAATGCACCACGTGCCTCATTGCACCACGTGCCTCATTGCACCACGTGCCTCATTGCACCACGTGCCTCATTGCACCACATGCCTCATTGCACCACATGCCTCATTGCACCACGTGCCTCATTGCACCACATGCCTCATTGCACCACGTGTCTCATTGCACCACGTGCCTCATTGCACCACGCGCCTCATTGCACCACCTGCGCTGATGACCCTGCGCACCTGCGAGGGAGAGGCGGTGAGCCACACGTGGTGGAGGTCAGGGTCGTGCTGCCTGAGGCTGTACGCGTGGAACACACTCGCCACCACCGCCATCTGCTCCCTCCTCCCCCGCTCCTCCAACTCCCCCTCCTGCCCACTCCTCCCCACCTCCTCATCCTCCCCTTCCTCCTTATCCTGCTCATCCTCTTTGAGATGCTGCATTGGCGGCCTCTCCACCCCTCGCCTCCGTCCTGTGTCCATGGCAACGATGGGGCGCAGCACATACGCCTCGCGCCCCGCCCCAAAGTAGTCTGACAGGGGGTTGCCCGGCGTCGCCATCACATTGCCGCGCCCGCGCGCCACACACCCGTGGAAGCCCAGCCCCGGCCACACCTGCGCCTCCACCGAGTGCGGAGTCGAGAAGTTGAGCGCCGCCAGCTCCCGCCCCTCCTGCTGCAGGGCGCGCGCTGCAATGGGGTGGCGGGCGGCCAGGGGTGGCAGCAGCAGCGAGGAGAGGATGCCCTGGGCCTCGGCGTGGTGCGTGGCCATGCCGCGCGCCACTTGCATGCCGTAGGCGCGGTGGCGGTGACGGTTGAGCAGGTGGCAGAGGTAGGGCGAGGGCCAGCGCAGCATGAAGCGCAGCGCCTGCGCCCTCCACCACTGCACCTGCACGAAGAGGAGGGGGGGATGGCAGGGGGATTGGATGGACGAGAGGGATATAAGGCGGTGGCTACAATGGAAAGAGGAGAGATAGCCCAACTTCACTGCTTGTGGGGGGATTGGGGGAGGGGACGAGCAGGAGGATGAGGGAGGTGTAAAAGTGGAGGGACAGGGCAAGGACGCATGGCATGTGGCAGCAGCCCAGCAGCGCTACAATGGCTCCATGCATGGCACGGTGGCGTGGACACATGGTGACATGGTGGCACATGATGGTGACATGGCGGCACCTTCTGCTGTTTCTCCGTACACCGCTCTGCACCCCTCCGCGCCCCCCGCACCACCACCTGCTGCCACGCCCCGCCCAGCAGGCTGCTCACATGTGGGAACACAGCAGGAGATGGGAGGTAGATGAGGATGAGACGGTAGGAGAGAGACACGGGGGGAGGCGTTGGGGGAAACAGAGAAACAAGAGTAAGGTCAACAGTGGCGAGCAGCTTGACGAGTGCAGTGCGGGTTGTCATTCCCAGCTCGAAGTTGCCATGCATGGGTCACATCACATCACATCACATCACATCACATCACATCACATCACATCACATCACATCACATCACATCACATCACACCACACCACATCACATCACATCACATCACATCACATCACACCACATCACACCACACCACACCACACCACATCACATCACATCACGCCATACCACACCACACCACACCACACCTCACCACATCACATCACACCACACCACATCACACCATACCACATCACACCACATCACACCACATCCCACCACACCACACCACATCACATCACATCACATCACATCACATCACATCACATCACACCACATCACATCACATCACATCACACCACATCACATCACATCACATCACATCACATCACACCACACCATACCACATCACATCCCACCACACCACATCACATCACACCATACCACATCACACCACATCACACCACATCCCACCACACCACACCGCATCACATCACATCACATCACATCACACCACATCACATCACATCACACCACACCACACCACACCACACCACATCACATCACATCACATCACGTCACGTCACATCACATCACATCACATCACATCACATCACATCACACCACATCACATCACACCACATCACATCACATCACATCACATCACATCACATCACATCACATCACACCACATCACATCACACCACATCACATCACACCACACCACACCACACCACACCACACCACATCACATCACATCACATCACATCACATCACATCACATCACACCACATCACATCACACCACATCACATCACATCACATCACATCACATCACATCACATCACATCACATCACATCACATCACATCACATCACATCACACCACATCACATCACACCACATCACATCACATCACATCACTCACGCAGCAGCAGCTTCAGCAGGATGCTTCCCACTTGGCTCCGCGCCCGCATCGCCATCACAGCACTGCACCGCAGCACTCGCCCGCACATGGGTGGTGGCGCACACCACACGCGCCTCTGACGCCACTGCACTGCCCACCTCCGCCACTGGCCTGCACGCCCCCATCCCGCCCCCCCCGCCTTCTGACCCCTCCGCCCCCCCTGCATGCACGTCCGTGCTTCCCAGCCGTCCCCCTTGCAGGCGTCCCCCCTCCATAACAGGGTGGGAGAGTGAGACGGCGGCGTGGGCAGCGGCCTGGCAGGCGGGCGAGGTGAGGCGGTGGAAGTAGCAGTGCCACGAGCCCCATGCGCTGTGCGCTGGGGCGACACGCGTGGAGGGCACGCAGGGGGAAGGAGACATGGCAGCATTAGAGGGGAGTGCAGGGCGCACGTGCCACACACACGCATCCAAACAGCTTGCATGCATTCGAGCCTTCTTGCCATCCCTATTGCCACACGCCACACACCTCGCCATCCCTCATGCCATCCCTCATGCCATCCCTCATGCCATCCTTCATGCCATCCCTCATGCCATCCCTCATGCCATCCCTCATGCCATCCCTCATGCCATCCCTCATGCCATCCCTCATGCCATCCCTCATGCCATCCCTCATGCCATCCTTCATGCCATCCCTCATGCCATCCCTCATGCCATCCCTCATGCCATCCCTCATGCCATCCCTCATGCCATCCCTCATGCCATCCCTCATGCCATCCCTCATGCCATCCCTCATGCCATCCCTCATGCCATCCCTCGTGCCATCCCTCGTGCCATCCCTCGTGCCATCCCTCGTGCCATCCCTCGTGCCATCCCTCGTGCCATCCCTCGTGCCATCCCTCGTGCCATCCCTCGTGCCATCCCTATGCCATCCCTCGTGCCATCCCTCGTGCCATCCCTCGTGCCATCCCTCGTGCCATCCCTCGTGCCATCCCTCGTGCCATCCCTCGTGCCATCCCTCATGCCATCCCTCGTGCCATCCCTCGTGCCATCCATCGTGCCTTTTTTATGCCATCCCTCGTGCCATCCCTCGTGCCATCCCTTGTGCCATCCCTCGTGCCATCCCTCGTGCCATCCCTCGTGCCATCCCTCGTGCCATCCCTCGTGCCATCCCTCATGCCATCCCTCATGCCATCCCTCATGCCATCCCTCATGCCATCCCTCATGCCATCCCTCATGCCATCCCTCATGCCATCCCTCATGCCATCCCTCATGCCATCCCTCATGCCATCCCTCATGCCATCCCTCATGCCATCCCTCATGCCATCCCTCATGCCATCCCTCGTGCCATCCCTCGTGCCATCCCTCGTGCCATCCCTCGTGCCATCCCTCGTGCCATCCCTCGTGCCATCCCTCGTGCCATCCCTATGCCATCCCTCGTGCCATCCCTCGTGCCATCCCTCGTGCCATCCCTCGTGCCATCCCTCGTGCCATCCCTCGTGCCATCCCTCGTGCCATCCCTCATGCCATCCCTCGTGCCATCCCTCGTGCCATCCATCGTGCCTTTTTTATGCCATCCCTCGTGCCATCCCTCGTGCCATCCCTTGTGCCATCCCTCGTGCCATCCCTCGTGCCATCCCTCGTGCCATCCCTCGTGCCATCCCTCGTGCCATCCCTCATGCCATCCCTCATGCCATCCCTCATGCCATCCTTCATGCCATCCCTCATGCCATCCCTCATGCCATCCCTCATGCCATCCCTCATGCCATCCCTCATGCCATCCCTCATGCCATCCCTCATGCCATCCCTCATGCCATCCCTCATGCCATCCTTCATGCCATCCCTCATGCCATCCCTCGTGCCATCCCTCGTGCCATCCCTCGTGCCATCCCTCGTGCCATCCCTCGTGCCATCCCTCGTGCCATCCCTCGTGCCATCCCTCGTGCCATCCCTATGCCATCCCTCGTGCCATCCCTCGTGCCATCCCTCGTGCCATCCCTCGTGCCATCCCTCGTGCCATCCCTCGTGCCATCCCTCGTGCCATCCCTCATGCCATCCCTCGTGCCATCCCTCGTGCCATCCATCGTGCCTTTTTTATGCCATCCCTCGTGCCATCCCTCGTGCCATCCCTTGTGCCATCCCTCGTGCCATCCCTCGTGCCATCCCTCGTGCCATCCCTCGTGCCATCCCTCGTGCCATCCCTCATGCCATCCCTCATGCCATCCCTCATGCCATCCTTCATGCCATCCCTCATGCCATCCCTCATGCCATCCCTCATGCCATCCCTCATGCCATCCCTCATGCCATCCCTCATGCCATCCCTCATGCCATCCCTCATGCCATCCCTCATGCCATCCCTCATGCCATCCCTCATGCCATCCCTCATGCCATCCCTCATGCCATCCCTCGTGCCATCCCTCGTGCCATCCCTCGTGCCATCCCTCGTGCCATCCCTCGTGCCATCCCTCGTGCCATCCCTCGTGCCATCCCTCGTGCCATCCCTATGCCATCCCTCGTGCCATCCCTCGTGCCATCCCTCGTGCCATCCCTCGTGCCATCCCTCGTGCCATCCCTCGTGCCATCCCTCGTGCCATCCCTCATGCCATCCCTCGTGCCATCCCTCGTGCCATCCATCGTGCCTTTTTTATGCCATCCCTCGTGCCATCCCTCGTGCCATCCCTTGTGCCATCCCTCGTGCCATCCCTCGTGCCATCCCTCGTGCCATCCCTCGTGCCATCCCTCGTGCCATCCCTCATGCCATCCCTCGTGCCATCCCTCGTGCCATCCCTCGTGCCATCCCTCGTGCCATCCCTCATGCCATCCCTCGTGCCATCCCTCGTGCCATCCCTCGTGCCATCCCTCGTGCCATCCCTCGTGCCATCCCTCGTGCCATCCCTCATGCCATCCCTCATGCCATCCCTCGTGCCATTCCTCGTGCCTACCACCCATGAGTGCGCCGCACCTCGGCAGGCGGGGTGCTGGGCGGGGCTGAACGACGCCCCCACGGGAACCAGCACGCGCCCACTGCTCACCGCCACTGCCAGCGCCTCCCCCATCGCCTCTACCGCTCCCGCCAACCACTCCCCCAACCCCTCCCCGTCCCCCTCCCCTCCCAACCCCTGCGCGTCCCCCCTCTTCCAGGAGCGGTTGAGCGCGGGGGGCAGCGCGGGCCAGTGCACCAGCAGCAGGCGGCGGCCGCGGCAGCGGTGCGGCGGGAACTGGTGCTCCCACAGATCCCTCTGCGCCGCCCGCGTGCCGCCCAGATTGCCCGCGTCCGACCCGCGCACCTGCGGGAGGGAGGGTGAAGGCGGACGGAAGACGAGAAGGAGGGGTGGGAGGGGGGAGGGGAAGCAGGGTGGGAGGTGGGGGGGGGGGGGGGGGGCAGGGTGAGGAAGGTGTGAGTGCGGAGGGTATGAGGTGGCGCTTGTGTGAGAGGAGATGAGAGGGAGACGAGAGGGACGAGAGCACACAGATTGACAAGAGTGCACAGGAGGGCAGATGGAAGGTGGTGTGACAAGAAAAACAGCAGTAGATAGTGATGATGCATGCATGCGCGCAGCGGCATGCACATCTCACCCACGGGGGCTGCGGGACGCCTTCACACTGCTGCGCCGCTGCGTCCGCCCATAGTGGCGCCTGCCCCCTGCGCCCGCGCTGCTCCATGGCACGGCGGAAGGCAGAGCGCGCAGCACAGTCGTGCAGGTGGGGCGCGGGGGGCAGGAGGGCGGAGAGGTGCACCTCGGCGGGCGGGTGGGAGGAGTTTGCGGTAAGCCCATACGCGGCGGCCCACGCCTGTGGCACAATGGAGGGCAGCAGGGGAGGAGGCATGGCGTGGGCAAAGACGGGTTGAGAGGGGGTTGTGGCAAAGTCGGTTGGGATGCACGCACCCCGTTTGCTCTCTCATTGTTCACCTCACCTATTCTCACACCACGCACCTCACCTATTCTCACACCACGCACCTCACCTATTCTCACACCACGCACCTCACCTATTCTCACACCACGCACCTCACCTATTCTCACACCACGCACCTCACCTATTCTCACACCACGCACCTCACCTATTCTCACACCACGCACCTCACCTATTCTCACACCACGCACCTCACCTATTCTCACACCACGCACCTCACCTATTCTCACACCACGCACCTCATATATCTTCACGGAACCCTCGCTGGGCCTGCTTATCCGCACCGTTTCCCCTCCCTGCGACCCCTCCTTTCCTCCCTGCGACCCCTCCTTTCCTCCCTGCGATCCCTCCTTGATTTTCTGCGACCCCTCCTTGCCTCCATCCAGCCCCTCGCCTCCTTGCGACACCTCCTCGCCTCCCTGCGACACCTCCTCGCCTCCCTGCGACGCCTCCTCGCCTCCCTGCGACACCTCCTCGCCTCCCTGCGACACCTCCTCGCCTCCCTGCGACACTTCCTCGCCTCCCTGCGACACCTCCTCTCCTCCCTGCGACACCTCCTCGCCTCCCTGCGACAGCTCGTGCGACGTTGCTGCCAACCCCTCTCTTTCCCCCGTCGTCCTCTCTCCTTCCCACCCGCTCGCGCTTCCGTGCCCTCTCTTCCCCTCGCCCCCGCTCCCACTCGCTGCGCCCGCCTCTGTGTCCCCTGCGCGTGAATCCACCGCATCCAGCGCGCGCACCAACTCCCTCCCGCGCGCCGGATCCTGCGCAAGCCCTGCTCCTCCTTGCACCTCTTCCCCCTCGCTTTCCGCCCGCCTTTCATGCGCCGGCCTCCAAACGTGCGCCGCCATTCCAACCGCTAGGGGTTGCCATAGGCTCGCGTTTTCCGCCGCCTCTATGCGCGTTAACTCAGGAAGGTGAACAGCGTACTGGCTGACGCCCCGCGCGTCCACCCCGAGGTCTTCCAGCCCCGTCACGGCGCGCCGAGCGCCGTCCATCGCGTCTCCCCACAATGCGAACGGCTTCAAGGTGCTTTGCGGGACTAGTAGGCTCCAGGATAGCTCGCAGCTTACAGTGAGGAACACGGCCAGAAGGATGGCTTGTAACACGTAAGAGAGGTAGCGCGGAAGTTTGAAAGCGCGTGAAACTGGCGGGAAGCTTTTCTGTCGGTCCAAACTGCTTAACTTCGAAGCTCCCATAGCGACAACACGTCGGCAGCGCTCGCGTGAGGTTCGGCGCTTTCAAACGAAAGAATCAGTCCTGCCACAACAGCTACCTACGATTTATTCTGAAGGCTCCAGTCAGGAACGATCATCGCCAATTTGGGGGGTGTGGGAAACTTGTTGGGAACGAGTTGTTGCCGAGTGGTTTTCGACTCCTGGCGTTTTCCCGCGAATTGCGGTTGGTTTCCGACACATCTGACAAGTAGAGATCGACTGGTGCAGAAAATTTCTCCCAAGCCCTCCAAGTTGGTTCCGGAAATTTGAGCGAACATGCACAGCGATTTGTTGCAACTTTGTTTCTATTGGCTGCCGGGCCGTCCAAATACATCCCGACGCGCACTCGTTTAGAAGAGGAAACTCGTTATCAGTCTTTCGAACTCGTTCATTTAATCCTACATTTTTTCCCCGTTATTTAAAACATGATACTAAGGAGGGATCAACACAGCGAGTTTCGAAATCATTAATGTCAATAGGTACAAAAAGGTACAGTAAACTAGCCAAAAAAATGGTGACTAAACAATTACCGATATTTTTTTAATTCAGTACAGCCTAGCCTACAATGCTACATTATAACAAATAGAGAAGGCAATACACTAAAAAGGTCAAAATTTTACATAGATACAAATCGAAGAACTTCCATTAGTTACAAACTCATCTACACCTACAAAAACAGCCCTAAGCTACCACAGGTACTACAGGTCACCCGTAAAGCTCCTCCTGCTCTTCATTCTCATCATAAACCCGCTCCTGCGAGCCTGGCTCGCCCACTAGCTCATCCAGACCAAGGTCACCATGCTCGTCTGCAACCAGCTCCTCCTCTGGAATCTCCTTCCAACCAACAATGCAGACCTTGCCGATCCCAAGGCAGTCGTCCGTGCGAGTGACGTCACTGCTGTTGATCCAGCGCTGTACAACCCGCGCCTGCCTGGCAAGAGCACCAGGATCTCCCGACCGATCCAACTGAGCCTTCGTGGCGCCGGGATGGCGGAACTTGAGCCTCACCTGCACGAAGAAGAAAAGCAATCAACACTTGTCAAATTGCACAATGTGAAAGGCAAATAAAGTGCTCATGTTAAACCCAATTAATGCAACCGATAAAAAAACCTCAATGACTTACTGTCGGCGAAACGCTCAACGTAGTCAGCACATTTCGTGAGTAAGTCCTCAGGCACCTGCAGGGTTAGCTCTCCCTTGAAGTTCTGCTTCCTCTCCATAAAAACGCATGGTTCTAGGCTCAGAGCATAAAGGCGACGGAATCGGTAGATTTTACCGATCCGGTCGTTGAATCGCACACACGCGTGCTTCAGAATGCCATTGACCTTCAGCAAGGCAGCGAGCTTCAAGCCCTGAGGGGAGTCAGCGATGTAACCAGCTTTCTTTGCACAAAACATGAATGACGACGAGTAAGTAAAAAACAATGAAAAACGAACGCGACGGTTTTTTACCGTCACTTACTGATTAAAGCTGTGAGCATCGCATCAGGATCGGGTGACAGGTAAAGCGTATCCGGCTTGAAAAGGAAGTCGTCGCACGACTCCTGGATGTGGACCTGAAATTAAAAAAATCACATCGCATTAGTGACTGTTTGTAAACAGCGGAGGCGGCAAAATAGAGGGCAATACTCACCCGCCAATTCACTTTGGCGAGCGGATCATCGGCAATTTTCTCCGCCAGATGCTTCAACAGCGACAATGCATCCTTCGGATTCGCGTCCCTCTTCTCAAGCTGCTGACGAAGCTCCACGTTCTGCTTTTCCTGGTCGTCAGCCTTCAATTGAAGCTCGTCTCCAGATGATGCCGTTCCTCCTCGCGAAAACGCTTAGCCTTGGTAGTATAAGCCTCCCCTATCGCCCGAGTCATCGCCAACTCCATCGGGTAATCTTCAGTTTTGCCTGTTTGGGCTGAAAACAGACGCAACAGAACAGCAAAATTAGCGAGTGTAAGCAGGAATGAAGCGTGTCACATAAACATTCACTCACCCGCAGAAGCAGCATCTTGTTTGTTAGTGACGGCTGCACCGATGTTTGCAACCACCGTCGCTACAGTAGGGGAACGACGTTCACCAGTGCATTCAGGTGAACCGGCAGGAGAAGCCTCGACGGGCGAAGTAGAGGTGACGATAGGCTGTTGGTGGAGGGCGGGATTTGTCGCTGTAGGGAGCGCCGTGTCCTTCGCCCGCGTACGAGTGACTGTTGGGGGGGATTTGTCAATCTGGCTCCGTCCAGTTTGCTAACTCCGTGTCCCGGTGGGCCGGCGATTGGGTTGAGCTTCGTCGGCTACATCATGAGCTACATCAGCAACACCTGCAACAAAGTAACTAAAAGAAATCACTTAAAAATATCAGATACGTGTAGGAACATTATAGCTTATACATTTGTGTAGGCTGTAGTAGGGTAGCCCATAAGGGGTACAACCCAATTAGGGTTAGTACTTGTACCCAACTGTTTCATAGTTCATTCATCCATTCGCATTTCTCGTCATGGTATCGAGCAGGTTCCCGAGTGGGAATGCTGCCTAGGGCCTACCACGGAATTTTCTTCCCTGCCCAGAGTGCGCTTCGCTCCTACCCGAGTAGCGCCTCGAGCCGCCCTTAGTGGCTCCCTTTGGCCGCCCTTACGGCCCCTCGCGCCACCTTCTACGGCCCCTCGCGCCGCCCTTACGGCCCCGTTTGGCCCCTTACGACCCCGCTTAGGCCCCTTGCAGCCCCGTCGCGGCCTCGCCTAGGCCCCTCCGCGGCCCCGTCTGGCCCCTTACGCCCCTGCCTAGGACCCTCCGCGACCTCGTCTTGCCCCTTACGGCGCCTTACTGCCCCGCCTAGGCCCCTCCGCGGCCCCGTCGTACCCCTTACGGCCCCGCCTAGGCCCCCTTACGGCCCCTTCGCGGCCTCGCCTAGGTCCTTCCGCGGCCCCGTCTAGCCCCTTACGGCCCCGCATAGGCCCCTTACGGCCCCGCATAGGCCCCTTACGGCCCCTCCACGGCCCCGCCTAGGCCCCTCTGCCGCCCAGTTTGGCCCCTTACGGCCCCGCCAAGGCCCCTTACGGCCCCTTTACGGTCCGTCTAGGCCCCTTCCGGCCCCGCCTAGGCCCCTTCGCGGCCCCGTCTGGCCCCTTTACGGCCCCGTCTGGCCCCTTAACGGCCCCGCTACGGCTCCATCTGGCCCCCTTTACGGCCCCGTTTAGGCCCCTCTGCGGCCCCGTCGCCACCTGCGGCCCCGTCGCCACCTGCGGCCTCGTCGCCACCTGCGGCCCCGCCGCCACCTGCGGCCCTGCCGCCACGAGCGGCTCCGCGGCCACCTGCGGCCCCGTCGCCCTACCCTAGCGGCCGAGCAGCACAGCACCCGAGCCGCCCGCCCGCCGAGCAGCCCAACCGCCCTGCCGCCGAGCCGCCCACCAGCCGAGCCGCCCTTCCGACGAGCCGCCCACCAGCCGAGCCGCCCTGCCGCCGAGCCACCCTGCCGCCGCCCTACTATCTAGCAGCTGCTGTTCCTACCGGTGCACCCCGGCCCCTCCTTCCTCGGACTGGTGAGCTCACTTCCTCCTAGGCCACTGCAGTCATGGCTACCCCCAGTGTCCTCACTTTTGATGCTGAGGGCCGTGCCGTTGACTTTGAGGTCTGGGTCGATGACCTCCAGCTGTTTCTTCAGTGCGATAGGGCACACGTCCTCTCCTTGTTTGACCTCACTTCTGGTGCCTCTCCTTCCCCTGCTGCTGATGCTGACGCCACTGTTTGCTCATAGTGGGCCACGCGCGATGCTGCTTCTCGCCTTGCTGTGCGACACCACTTACCGACCACTGAGCGTGCACACTTTAGCGAGTACAAGAGTGCTCAGACCTTGTACGACGCTGTAGTTGCACGCTACTCTTCCCCTGCCACTGCTGCACGGAGCCACCTCCTACTACCGTACCTCTTCCCTGACCTTGCTGCCTTTCCCACTATCGCTGACCTCATTACGCACCTCTGCACTAGTGACACTCGCTACTGCGCTGCGCTTCCTGCTGATTTCTGTGCCAAGAACCCCGCCCCATAAACATCACCCTCTACTACATAGTCACCCAGCTCCCTGACTCTCTTCGCGTAGTCAGGGACCACTTCCTCTCAGTCTGCCCCACCACTCTCACCGTTGACCTCCTCAAGAAGGCCCTCCTAGCGATAGAGAATGCATAGTCGCTGTAGGAGCCTCTCGTGGTGAGCCTCATGCCCCCGTCTTTGAGGGGTGTTCTCCCTCCCCCCTCTTGCCCTCTCTTGCCTCTGCTGCTGCGGCCGACCTCGTTGGTTTCGAGTCGGTCGGCGTTGCGTCTGCCCCGAGTCAGAGACACCGCACCAGCAAGGGCAAGGGGGGCAAGGGCGCTGGAGGGGCTGGAGGGGGCAGTGGAGGTGGTGGTGGAGGCATTGGAGGGAGTGGGGGTAGTGGTGGGAGTGGTGCCGGGGGTGGCAGCAGCGGCCGCAGCAGTGCGGGAGGCGGAGGCGGTGGAGGTGGCGGAGGGAGCGGAGGTGGCGGAGGTGGCGGAGGAGGCGGAGGTGGGGGAGGCGGCGGAGGCGGCGGCGGCGGTGGTGGAGCAGGTCGAGACTCTACGGAGAGGAGATGCATTGGTGGTAGTAAGCGCCAGCAGCAGCGGAATGGTGTGACCCTATCCCCTCAGTAGCTTCGTGAGTGGTACATTGCGCGTCAGCGAGGTGGGGGTTTTGGTCCCTGCTCTTACGTCCTTCGTACCGGCGACCGAGCAGATGAGCAGTGTGGAGGCCCTCACTCAACCCAGTGCTGCTTTGGTCGCCTGACGGACGCGTGGCGTTGCCATTTCCTTGAGGCGTCAGAGATCCCTTGCTGGGGAGATCTGTCTAAGCCCGGGGTTGCTATCTTTGATCTTGACTTTGATGCTATTCTTGCTGCCATGTATGCTGTTGATACTAGTGTTGCTGGTGACTGTTACCTGTGTGTATCGCCTGACCCGAGCATTGAGGCCGCTGCTCTAGGTGCTGGTGAGGCTGCTGCTCTAGGTGCTAGTGCGTCTGCTACACCAGGTGCTAGTGCGTCTACCGCCCCAGGTGCTGGTGAGTCTGCTCTTTCAGGTATTACGTCGGCTCAGACCATCCACACCTTCACCCTGGACTTGGGTGCGTCCCGCTCCTTCTTTCGAGACCGCACCATTCTTACGCCGCTCAGTCGGTCGGTTGCAGTCTCCCTGGCAGACCCCTCTGGGGGTCCTGTCCTTGCTCGCGTCTCCACTTTCCTACCATGCCCAGCAGCCCCCTCTGGCACCCTGTCAGGACTCTACCTCCCCTCGTTCTCTACAAACTTTGTGAGTGGAGCAGACCTACAGGATAGGGGGGTTGACCAGTTCACTCCTGCGAGTCAGCGAGTGACCCACTGCACGTGTGCTTGGACACGCCGACACTTGGCCACGCTCACCCGTCGGCCAGGGACGAGCCTGTACACCCTTACTACTAAGTCTCCTCCTGCTGCTGATTCTTCCCAGGAAGCTGCGTCGAGTCAGGTGTTTCCTGCGGCATCCAGGTCTGGTCCTGAGTGTGCCCCCTGCTCGTGTCATCTGCTGTCCCACCAGACTCTTCTTTGGCACCACCGCCTTGGTCACCCCTCCCTGCCTCGTCTCCGAGGCATGGCCTCCCGTGTCCTTGTCTCTGGTCTCCCTCAGTCTCTCCCTCCCCTTCCTCCGGGGCCTGGCCCTACCTGCGTCCCCTGCGTCGAGGAGCGACAGTGCGCCGCCCCTCACTCCTCTGATTTTCCTCTGACAGAGGCTCCGCTGCAGAACTCCCCACATGGACGTGTAGGGCCAAGTCCGCGTCAGTGGGTAGGGGCACGAGCGGTAGTTTCTACTGGTCATTGAGGACTACTCGCGTTACACGATAGTCTTCCCCTTGCGCAGCAAGGGTGACGTCACTGAGGTGTTGATCGACTGAATCTGCGCAGCTCGTCTCTTGCTCAGAGAGAGTTTCGGCTCAGACTTTCCTGTTCTGCGTCTGCACTCGGACAGAGGCGGGGAGTTTTCCTCTGCCCGTCTGGGAGCCTTCTGTCGTGCACAGGGCATCTGCCAGACCTTCACGCTTCTGGCCTCTCCACAGCAAAATGGGATTGCTGAGCGCCGCATTAGCATGGTGATGGACGTCGCTCGTACGTCCATGATGCATGCAGCTGCCCCCCATTTTCTGTGGCCATTTGGGGTTCAATACGCCGCGCAACAGCTCAACCTTCAGCCCGGGTCTCCTTGCCAGAGACCTCCCCCGCCTTGCGGTGGACAGGGAAGGTTGGTGATGCGTCTGCGTTTTGGGTCTGGGGATCTCGGGCGTTTGTCCGCGACTTGTTTATGGACAAGCTGTCCCCCCGTGCAGTTCCCTGCGTCTTCCTTAGCTACCCCCATGACGCGCCTGGGTGGCAG